TCCCCTGGTTTTTTTTTTTTTTTTTTTTTCCCGCGACCGTTAAACACGTGCGTTACGCATGCGACTACCGACAAAAACAATGTCCCGTTTAACGCGCTCCGTTTCGCTCGCTCGATCGTCAATGAATCGTCGCGGTGGGTGTTGGGAAAACGTCGGGGAAGCCGAGGATGCTGCTACACCTTGCCCGCTATACCGATTTTCGCGCTTTATTAAACGCGTGGGCTAAAGAGGTTTTTAGCCCGAGGGAAATGACCAAACAACCGCTTGACTTTCGAAACTTTCGAAGGGGCTAGCGCGGTCGATACGGCAGATCGCGCATCCCCTCGCGAGTCTTGCTCGCGATCCAGCCCCGACTAACGTCCACGTACCCGTTGCTCGGCTTTCAGGATGGATGTACCACGTGGTTGACTGCAATATCCTGGGCGTAACCCGGCAGCAGAAGCAAGCGATAGCGATCCACTGCCTGCAGAAGTCGATCGAGGCGGAGCCGAAGAGTGGACAGAGCCTCTATTTACTTGGGCGCTGTCTCGCCGCATCCGGACAAGTTCACGATGCTTTCATCGCTTACAGGTGAGAGGCAACGACCGGGCACTTTTCTTTGGTGTTCAGTCAGGGTGTTAATTGTCCATCCCGACGAACTCGATTGGGGATAGCTGTTTGAGAGACGGATTTGTTCGTGGATTCAGAGTTGTCGGGACGCTCGTCAATAGTATCGTTGTTGTTATACTTTGCACGTAGAAACAGAAAAGTTTTTAATGTTTATCCAATAGTATTGCCAATCGTGTCGTTTAATATTTCGGGAATAATATCGAGTTGGCAAATATTGGCAAGTGCGGCTGTTCATACAATAGCGATGGATTTATGTACGTTGCAAAGGAAGATTTGCCATTGGGTTCGGCTCATTGTTACGAATGTTTTTTTAAAGTCTTTAGTAGTCAGCCGTCAATCGTCCCTATACATCGTCATATCGCTTTACTCTAGATGCGTTCGTAATTGTAATTGTATCAATGTGTTAACTTAAATTTAATTAAGTGACAGCGTGCGCAAGACTATACCGAAGCGATGCACGCTATCGGTTTGCATGTATGTATCATTGTTTTTCTTTTCGTTTTCTTTTTCGCAATTCTCTTCTTCCTTGTTTTTTTTTTTTTTTTTTTTTTTTTTTTTTTTTTTTTTTTTTTTTGTTAAATATGCGACATTTATCGTCGATTCGACGACATATCCACGTCTACGAAAATCATTAAAATAATTCGTAATTTTTCCATCGTACCTTAGGTGAATTAAATGCATTCATTAGCAAGTCGAATGTGTCGGTCCCAGTTAGAATATTCGAAAATTGACCATTTGATTATAACATTTCTTCTCTACGGCTATTTAATATTCGCGCATCGATGTTTGAATATGAAATCATTGAAAAAAAAAAAAAATAAAAAAAAAAAAATAAAAAACAGGGAAAAAACAACATAATTACGGTCTGTCTATATTTTAATGAACAATTTCAGCTGTAAATGTTGGTGAATGAATTTCTTAATATCTTATTATATTTTAAATTGCGAATGTTCGATGTTGTTTATAATTTCATATCGATTTACTAGTATCATTTAAAAATTAATAAACAGGTCATTGTCGCAGAACAATAAGTTTAATCTAATACCGTGAATAAAGTAAGCAACCGTTTTATCTTTATAGAAAATGAGTAGTTATTGTATTGATAAGCATTCTATGGCATATATTATTTGTAATTTAAATTTGTAAAATAATTTTCTATTTCAAAGAATGCGAATGAAATCGTTTAATAAGTTTTTTTATTTTTTATTTTTTTATTTTTATTTAAGCCAACGAAACATTTTGATAATTGTTTGAATTTGTTTGAATGCCGTGAGACAAATTTCAATGTAATAAAAAAAAGTAAACATTTTACACCTGCCCTTGCATGCGAATGAATTTCTAGGTTTTAAAAAGCTACCTAGCTGTACTTAAACCTTAGGTTTTTGTTTCTTTTCTTTTCTTTTCTTTTTCATAGCTGGAGCTTTTGTTTGGCATGGCAGTTCACGACACTTGTCCAACAATAACTATATTAATTGTTGATTATAATTTTACGAAATTTGCGATTATAATTTGTTTCATGAATTTTCGAACTGAAAGTAACGAAAATAACGAGAATTGAGCCGCCGTCGAGGCAGCACCGAGACACGATAATAGAAAAAAAATACTTAAAAATAATCGAAGGTAAAATAAGTTAAGAGTTTAATATATTAAACTTGACTGATTCGACTGCATCAAATATTACCGGAAGTCATTATTTCATTATTTTATTCGCGATATAACCCCTCTCTCCATGCCTACCGACATTAGCTCGCAATATATTGAATTTCAGCGATAAGAAGACCGCGATGGTCAAGGGATCGATAAGTTTTAATAAACTTAAATTACAGAAAACCGATTGAAATATTAATTGCGGTCACGGATTTATCCGAGTAGTTCTTTAATAACGAGCTGCGAGAGCCATAATCCCATTAATTAGTGATAAATAATGGTAGCGCGAGCCTAGCTCAGCTGTGCCTTACTCATAATATCGGCCAAGCGATCGCCACGGACTCGTGGTGAAATGTTAAAATTCACTAACCGCCGCGCGCTCCTCGCACTAACGAGCCGACTACTGACCTATTTCTCTCCTCCAGGAATTCAGTGGAAAAATCCGAAGGTAACGCGGATACTTGGTGTAGCATAGGAATACTATACCAGCAGCAAAATCAGCCCCTGGACGCCTTACAGGCCTACGTGTGCGCGGTCCAACTCGACAAGTCGCATTCGGCCGCCTGGACGAATTTGGGTATACTCTACGAGAGTCACAGCCAACCGAAGGACGCCCTCGTCTGCTACGTCAACGCCTCGAGGTAATACGCGTCCCCAAACCCTTCTAACATTATACTGCCTGTCAGTGTGCTCGTACAGTGGTCTTCGAGACCTCCGGTTGTCTGGGAATTTCTTCGGTTTTGTCCTGGGCTTCTATACCGAACTCCGATAGCGACGTCGCCGTGATGAAAGCGACCACAAGCACTTTACGATATTGTCGCGTGTGGTGATTATCAAGGGCGATACATGAAAATTCTTTTTTTCTCTCTGCCCTCGTCATTTATGAGTAGATTAAGCCGTGGAGAACTCGATCGGGCTTAATTAAATTAAAATCCTTTGAGGTGGCGATATATTGGTTGCGCCTATATTGTTAAATTCCCTCTTTATTATAGTCGATAATACTGGTTGTATTAATCAAGGGTTGATTCAATCAAGATTAAATTAATGCATTTCATGCAAAATGTTCGAGAATTGTGAAATTTTTAGAAAACTCATTGGATCGTAATCGTAGCGGCGAATATATTATTTTTAAATATTCACATATTTCCGGAAATTCACTAGAGTTACTCGTGTTTTTTTTTTTTTTTTTTTTTTTTTTTTTTTTTTTTTTTTTTTTTTTTTTTTTTCGAGATATCGGATATAATCACAACCTTTGATCTTACCAATAAAATGATACGGTCGATTCACGTTGAATAATGATAATAAGGAAAAATTATTTTAAATTAAGCAACTTTATACGTATTATATTTAATCTTTGGGTAAAAGGAATAAATAAATGATGTAGGTTATGGGAGAAAAGGTAATTTTTATTGTTTAAGTGTCAATGTGGCGTGCGCACGTAAGTCGGATCGCTACTTAAAAAGCTCCATATTTCTAATCGATATAGTTTCATAATTGACTTGCCATTTATAAATACGACGATTGTCAGCAATGATGACTTTTTCTCTCCCAGCCTTTAAATAATCGATTCATATACATTGTAGCTTATTTATGAGTTTAAGTTAATTTTCATTGAAAACGGTGATATCTTTTGCTTTGCTATCGGATCGTTAAAAATAGATGATGAAAATAATAAGAGAAACCGTTCGCTATTCATTTGAATATCGTTAGTGTCATTAATAACGCGACGCGTTATGAAAATATTTCGAATAAATTTGAAGTGTAAATTTGAATAAAATGAATCGTTAAATTCCCCTCTATTATGCTTTTGTATAGATAAAATTTTCGTTAAAATGTTCAAGTTTCGATCAGTAGAAATTGTTTGACAACAATATAATATAAATCATAAATCATCAGCTCACACATATGGAATATTTGGGCATTATCTATCGAAAAAACGTAATATAACCCGTGTGCGTATTCATATACATGTTTCGGGTGGCCACACACGCCCACACGCACACACGCCCACACGCACACACAAATAAACAAGCAAAAAAAAGAAGGTATTTTTTATGTAATTAAGCATCCATGTAAATGATCTGCTCTCTTGTTTAATTCGTAGCTTATTGTGCACAAGTCCCCATTGTAAACAAAGGTAAATATATGCGCACGGCGCTGATAAAAAAAAAAAAAGATTAAAATAATAATAATAATAATAACCGAGACATCAGTACGCAATCGCTCGTCATCCTAACGTAAGTTGACCAGCAATGTCCAGGTATACGTTTGTCCCCGGCAAACGCTCACCTGGTCTCAACCTCACAATCGCGCTGGCCTGGTTGGACCATCGACACTAATCTCGCCTCGCCTGGCCTCGTTTGGCCTCGCGTATGCTTCACTTACAGGGGCAACAACAATACGCCCAACTGCGCCAATAGTTCCCTCAGCAGTCAGCTGAGTGGCGCCAAATCCGGCGGCAGTGGTCCAATGAACCCCTCGCTCCAGCAACGTATCAGCTTCCTCCAGAGTCACCTAAGCCAAGCACCAATGCCTTCCGTCGCCACCAAGTAAGCCGCTAGCTGTTTTATAATCTTGGCGCGAGCGCGAGGTACGCGAGCAACCGGTTGACTGATATCTTGATATCCTGATGGGCCACGCACGGTTCCCTTCTCCTACTGACTGTGGGCCGAATAACCCCGGGATTACTGAAACGGTTTCGCAACGCGTTTACCATAGGTAAACTGAAAATTAATCGATAACGCGTGACCTCCACCCCCACCCCCACCCCCCACCCCATCCCTAATCCGACGTCGAAGTATGCACTTCAATTTTCCAATTCCATTAACCTGCGCGCCGATCATTCCAATTTGTATTACGCAGCTGTTCTCATTTGACAACGAGAATTGATCGCGTATTAGGACGCCTGGATTTTTCTCCTTCGATCAACAAGCGCCTTGGTGCAGTCGTCTCAATCTCCCTCTCTCTTTTTTCTTTTTTCTTTCATTTTTCTTTTTTAACTGCACACGTAACGTTGTAGGATTTTCTGCCATTTACGCGCTCGCCTAAAAGCTCGCCTAAAGCTCTAAGCCTCTTTGAAATACAAGAGCACAAGCAAGAGCAAATGTTGCCTATGGGGAGAATGTGATCGGGAAAGTTTCGTTGCCTTCGTCGCCGCGCTCGATTAGCCTGTCACCCCCGGTAACAAACGCTAATGCTACTCGTAGACGACGCCAACTGCCGTCGATCGAGGAGGCGTGGAATATGCCAATTAGCGCGGAACTCTCAAGCCGCCAACAGCAGCAGCAGCAACAACAACAACAACAACAACAACAACAACAACAACAGCAGCAGCAGCAGCAGCAGCAGCAGCAGCAACAAGCGCCTGGCGGTGCGGCTTACAAATATGCTGGTGGTCCCTCGGGCCCACCCCCGCCCTACCCCCAAGGACAGAATCAAAACATTAACAATAAACGATTCAAGGTGGGTGCTCAGAAACTCGAACGCGGATATTGCTCTCGTAAGGGAGTGCGGAGAGCTCTTTGCCGAGCCTACAAAAGCATTCATGACTTGTTCCGTTCATACGTCTATTATGCTTTGTCAATTGAAACTTCAGTGCTCATATCGCACTGAGATCCTTTATTTAAAGTATCTTTACATTCGCGCTCGACGAACCAACTATGCATTTATCACTCGAGCTCACTGACATTGATCTCAAGAGGATGTTAAATACCAACACTACATCCAATAATAATGGGAGTAATGAGAGTAAAAAGAGTGTTTGACAATGAGATTAATCGCTTGGTACGGTAATAATCAATTGCGCTAATGACGCTACCGTACGTTGCACAGCTCATTGTTGTCGACATGAGAAAGTGTATAAATTCGGAGCTTAGGGTTCGTCTCAATGCGCGCTTAATAATTGACTGACAAATTATTAATTAATATTTTTTAAATATTGTTCTTATGAATTTGCAGTTTTATCACATATCCTTACTTGCTTTGTGGATAATGGCGGGGTTTTTTGGTTTTGTTTTTTTTTTTGTTTTTTTTTTTTGGCCTCGACGCGATTAAAGCGTCGTCCACGTTATTCCACTAATTTCTTAAATATCTATATTTGAGAAACTTTCGACTTATCTGCCATTGCCATTATCGGCAATAATCGTCCGTTAATTTTTATGCTTCTGACGTTCCATTCCCATGCGTGTCCGCGTAACTATAACGTCGATAATTATACAAAATGCATTTAATCATAGCTTTATGTTTATTTTGTTAATTTGTATTTACGTGGCCACTTTCACTTATGTGAAAGCATTTAGGCGCCTTGTGTTTTATTGTTCGGCATTATCTCGTGTAATGTCGGTGAAAAACGACGATGGAAATGTTCGCGTACGTCGCACTTTAAATTGTAGCGTACATTTTCGTTTAACCGACTTTACGTAATGTTCAACGTTTGTTACTTTGCCGCGTATCTCATTATTACGACATTGTTTTCGATCGTTTGTGCTTACAAAATTAACAAAATACCTTGGGAATGGTACGATTTTAGATGACGATTTGATGGAAAAAACAGACAAATGAAGAAACGAAAGAAAGAAAAGAATTCACTTCGCCTCAAATACATTATCCACAAAGAGAGTTAATTGATAATCTGACTTATAAAAAATATTAATAAACTAATTTTTCTTTCATACAGAATAATATACCTAAAAAATTTTTGCCCATCGGCACTATTGGATGGTCGGATAGACACATAATTTTGATGCTCTTGTACGAGTAATTTCAACAGTAACTTCCTTGGGTTTACTCGCCCAATTACACATAATTGTCTGTATTTTAATTTCCAAAGTCTGTATTGAACTTCCCCCTCCCCATCCCCCCTCATTTTTTTTTTTACTGCTAACTATTCCTCTGAATTATCTCTTTTATTTCGACGTAAGCTTTCCTGTATATTACAAAAAGCTTAAAATTACAACGAGACGAGATAACGATAAAGAAACGAGTAAAAAGAACGAGTAAAATAATTCGAGTTCTTCAAAGTACAAAGTGCGACAAAGCTTACAAAAATCTTAAGAATCGATCTGCCAATTTGTCATTTGAACTGGAAGTTTGTTAAAAAAAAAAAACAAAAAAAAATTTTAAAAATCCTAATTTATCGATTGATTTCTTCTTAATAGAATTAAACTTAATTATCACTTAATATCATCCCGATTCTTGCTATAAATAATAGTTTCGTGCACCATTGAACCAAGATGAGCCGCGTGCAAATCTACCCGACACATCCAATTTTGTCCAAATGGTGGAGGAAGATAATTTGAATGTTCACGAATTGCTAGCAATGCATTCGTAAACGGTCAGATTTGATGTCCTTATCCGCTCGAAGTCGTCGACGTAGGCCATTTAGTGGTGGTTGTCCTACGTCCTACGATGGCAAAATAACGAACATACGAAAGGACTCGAAAATTATCCTTGCGAGCGTAAGAATGGTACGAGTATAAGCGATAAGGGACTGTTCAAGTATGGTTTGTAATGTAAAATAAATTCACGTTGTAAATGAATACATTACATGCATTTATATTTCGACAATTTTCATTTAATAATCATAACCAATTTTATTTTATTACTTTAAAAGCATTATAATAATTTGAGTAATTGAAGTAATTTTAAACTTACATAAAAAAAAAAAAAAAAAAAATTACAAACTCTAGAAATTCGCTATTTAGATGACAAATGGCATGCATACAATTTTCTGTGCATTAATTCTGCCTAATTTATTTTTCACTCTTCTTTGTTTTTGCTTTCCCTTTTTTTTTTTTTTTTTTTTATTTCTTGTTTTTATTTTTCATCCTAATTGAATGTATAAATGTTCCTAAAGCACACGCATACATACGTACGTTATTCAATACTGTCTTGAGCGAATGAATGAATAACGGGCGCATAAATAAAGAGCCAGAATCCATTGAGAAATCAATACATTTTGCAATCAACAATTTAACATGTTTATTCGAGGCAAATTTGCCAATATCCTATTACATCGTCGCTCGATGCCTCATATATCTCATTGTTATAGTCGGCATCTTGCAATATCTCCGATACATACATTTCCTAAAGTTAGCGCAAAAAATATCGACGTCGTGTGCAAAATTTCCACAAAAATGGCTAAAAAAAACTTGCTCGACTTGCGGCAAATCCAATTAGGAAAAAAAAAAAAAAAAAAAACATAGCCATTATTTGGAAATCAAGCCAAGAGCTTTTGCCTCTTCTTTTGATTAGCCCGTAACGTATCAATATAACATTACATAAACTAAAGTAGCAAGACGAGTAAATACCCAAGGTCTCAATGGGTTCAGCCCCGAACGCAAACACTAAACCAATTCACCAACCGACGTTGCTCGCACTAATCTCATCGATCGTGGCCGCGTGTAATTGTAGCCGGGAGAGGAGTCCTCGACTCCTGGGCAGCAGCAACAGCAACAGCAACAGCAGCAACAGCAACAACAACAGCAGCAGCAGCAGCAGCAGCAGCAACAACAACAACCACAGCAGCAATCACAGCAGCAGCAGCAGCAGCAGCAGCAACAGCCCCAACAGCCCCAGCAGCTCCAACGGCCCCCATCTTTCTACCTGACTCCTCAACAACTGCAGATGCTACAGTTTCTTCAGCAGAACCATGGCAGCCTCACGCCCCAGCAGCAGGGATTGCTGGCCCAGCTCCAGCATCAGTATCGTTCCATGCAGCAGCATCAGCAGCAGCTGAGGTTGCAACAGCAGCAGGCTTCTCAACGGGGACTGAGACCAGGACAGCCCGGATACCCCATGGGCTACGCGCCCGCTCACGCTCAACCCGGACAACCGGGTGTAATCAAGAGCTACGGGATGCCCCAGCAACCGGTAACATACACGCAACCCTTAGCTACTCCAGCGTCCAATCAATTATTCCTTCCCTCTTCACTCATCACCACCATCGTCATTTATCGTGACTTTATAACGCCGAGCATCGATCGCCGCTCTCGAGACCCATTGTTTGCCTATCAATGGCGCGGCTTTCGATTACGTCGGTTGATGGGGGAAAATTCGCATTCTTATCATTCGACCCTCGGGGAACTCTCCCAATTAGATCAATTATCTACTCAAAGTACCTGATTTTCGCCCGATTGTCTGCCGCGGGCGATTAAACTGGGGATCGTTTTCACCGCCGCGCCCCCTTCGATAGGCCACCGAAATTCCACCTCGAAATCTCTGGCATGTTTCCATTTCCATTTCGAAAAACCTAGAATTGAAATACAATTCAGGCAGTGGGCAGCGAAGGGGTGGCTTTTGATAATTATAAAAACGACATACATTTAGCATTACGAAAGCTTACGTTCAATTTACTTTAAATAACAAATTGTGCATATACGACTGAACAGAAATGTTGACGTTCCGACGATAATCCCCTCGTTCGTCTCTCTGCCATTGGTCAGGTGGAGCAGTTACCCAAATTGCCATTTTTCCGTCTGTACTTTCGTCGAGAGCCCGTAATCGAGCCTTCGCCTCCTAGCCCACCCGATCCCCGATTTGACAATTCCTCGTAGTGACACCAAGTAGTCCTAGTAGGCAAACGCACACCCAATCCGCGCTCGCCTGTCGTTCAACAATAAACGAAACCGCGCAAACCATCCTCGTTGCAGCAAAGCGGAACCGTGGCCCTGCAGACCGGTTTCTCGGACTCCAATGTCGGCTACAACGCCGCGGCTACGGGCAACTGCCAAGCCGCCGGTATGCCCTACAAGTCCGCCTCGGACCCCAACTATCCCCAGCGTCCACCCCAGCAAGGGCAACCCCAGCAACAGGCTGGTGCTGGATCGCAGTTCGGTGCCCAGCACTACCAGTCCTCGAGCCAATACGGGGCCCAGGGTTATACTCAAATATCCTCGACGACGAGCTGCTACCCCGAGGGCTCTTCCGGCAATAACAGTAACGGTGCAACAGCTGTGACCGGTGTCGCCAATACCACCGCCGTCACCGTCACCGGTGCCGCCGCTGCCGCCGCCGCCGCCGCCGCCGCCGCCGCCACTGCTACAGTCACCGCCACTGCCAATGCCTCCGCCAACGCCACCGTCCCAGCCAATGCCAACGCGAAGGGTAACGCCAATGCCAATACCACTGCTGCCGCCGCTGCTGCAGCAGCAGCCGCCGCAGCCGCCGCCGCGACCGCAACCAGTGCCACCACCACCAGCACCGTCAACGCCGTCAATACCAATGCCGGTGGCAATAAGGATGCCGGCCTCGGCGTCACCGACCAAGAACTCCAAGCTCTGCTCTCGCAAAAGGACATTGCCACCTCCCTCGCCGAGGATCTCCTCAAGCACTTTGGTTCCGAGGATTTGGACGTGAAGGAGGAGCCGCAACAACAACAGCAGCAGCAGCATCAGCAACAGCAGCAGCAGCAGCATCAGCAACAGCAACAGCAACAGCAACAGCAACAGCAACAACAGTCGCAACAGCAGCAGCAGTCCATCGTCAATAACGGCACCCTGAGCTCCGGCCCCTTCTCACCCTCGAACCTCGACGTCAACGGCGAGAAGATGAAGGAGGTCAAGGTGAGCTTTTCTCTCGAACGATTTACTTTGCGCTTTCGAGTATTCGATGCTCTAGGGGCAGAGGAGAGTTTCGAACCGGAATGATCGCTATTCCCGAGGAGCCACTTATTTCACGCAAGACTTAACAATTTGTATACCAAACTCACATTGTGCCTCGCTCTCTAAACAGGCTTTTCTCCAAGCATCTTTCTCTCCATTGTTTGTGCATGCGTGTGCACGTTCTGACTGAACGAATCAAGTATATGCGTTTTCATTTGCGTGACTTTCCTTATAATTTAAAATCTTGCCTCCACTGCTTTCTAACATTGCCATTAAAAATACTTTACTTTTTAAAAGTTTTTCTACTCGATGCGCTCGAGCTTGAACGCAGACGTAAAACCTTCCAACGCGATATAATATATTCTGCGCTTATAAGTGCTTGGATTTCAAACTTCTTCTGTGCACACGTATTTGTATAATAAGTATAAGTGCATTTGTTTGTGTTTGTGGGTGTTTGTGTGTTTGTGTGTTTGTGTATTTAAAGTTTCTTATTACGAAGTGTTCGGGTGAAATAACTTAATTTAACTTCCTTTGAAAATTCGTTCTCAACTTCTGCCGAGCTGCCGTGTTCCCTTATAAAACATCCGCAGCCTATTATTGTAAAGCAAATTGATCCAAGCACCATTAAAAAATAATATGCAATTGTTATTACGGTACAGAGCTATACCCGCACATTTAAATAACGCCCGGTTGCAAGCCAGTTTCATATAAAAATTATCATTAACTTTACGCGATTGCGTCATCGAGGTGTCTTAACCAATGTTGGACCAATCTTCGCTATGATTTAAGATCGAGAAGGTCGACGAGCCAATCAACAGCTGCTCGAGGTTGGAGACCAAGGTGTCCGTGGAGACGATAAAGTGCGAGGCGACCTCGAGCACGAACAAGGTCGACTCGTCGGTTCTGCGCTCGGAGCCGGTGCTGCGACTGGAGCGCCTCTGCGAGACTCAGGCCGAGCCCGAGTTCAACATCGAGATGGACTCGCGTCGGGTGCTGGAGCAATGCCGGTCTCGGGGCCTCAAAGCCGTGCCCAACTGCTCGATACTGAGCGATCGCTCGCCGCCCCCAGCGCCCCCCGATCCGCCTAGCCAGAGGCTCACCAAGGAGCAGCTTCTACCCCCGACGCCCAGTGTCTTTCTCGAGAACAAGAAGGATGTCTTTAGTCCCATTCTGCAGGAATTTTGTCTCAAGCACCCAATCGCCGTTGTCAGAGGTCGATGCATTTCTTATTACGATAACCTCACCCCTTACCCGTTAACCCTTAAAACCCAACCTCCTTACATTCCAATATATATATATATATATATATATATATATATATATATATGTCGCGTTGCTATTATCAGGTTAGAAAATTTAAAGTGCCCTTCGGCTAATCCCATGTTGGTGTTCGTTCAGTATGAGCTGCAGCCTTCGCTCGGTCAAGGTCAATTCTCCTTCCTCCAAATCCACTGGATTCTCCCTCTCTGCTCTCTGCTCTCTGCTGAGCCCGAAATGGCGACACTTGAAAACCGAGCTTTACGTTCAAACTCAGACAGTCTATTTATTATTCCGAGTAATGAATAATAAAGTGCAAAGGGCTCCTCTCTTTTTTCATTTGTCCTTTGAAATTGACAAAGGCCAGAAAAGGTCAAACATAATAATAAACACCGTATCCGAAGTCTCTAAGCTCATTTGTCAATCTTCTATATGTCGCTCGCGAGAATTACAAGCGAAAGTAATTTGTTTATTTATGCCGTAGTTGTTCCCAATTAAACAAATCGGAATGGGGATATTTATAAGAAGCGATAATGGCAGCCGACTTTGTAAAAAAGTAACGACGATTGATTTATTGCGCAGGTCTGGCAGCTGCTTTAAAACTCGACCTCGGCCTCTTCTCAACCAAGACTTTGGTCGAGGCGAATCCGGACCACACGATCGAGGTGCGCACGCAGCTCCAGCAGACGAGCGACGAGAACTGGGACCCAGTGCTGGCCCGTAAAGTCTGGGGCTGCATTAGCCACCGCAGCCACACGACCATCGCCAAGTATGCGCAGTACCAGGCCTCCAGTTTTCAGGTACGGCATTTTATCACTCGCAATAGACGTAGTGCGCGGGCATCATGTTGTTCAAATAAAGCGTACATAATTTTTATGATGTAACAACACTCGATCCTTTATCTTCGGAATCGAGTTAGCCGTAGGAATCAATAAGTAAGGCGGCGTTTATTTGGCCAGTGATGTAATCGTCGTGATAAGGATGACGTCCCCTGGGGACATATTATCGTTCGTCTTGAAAATCGATCCCATCGACTCGAAATCTTTGGGCTTTCTTTTTTCTATGTTATCTAAGCCTAAACCTATAATTCTCAAGCTTCTTTTTGTTTATTCGATTGTAGTTACTCTTATTTATTTTTCCCTTTCTTTCTCAACGTGAACTGGGAGGTGGGGGGGGGGACGTTACGGTATGGGGGGTCGGGATTTGGCCGACTACTTGTGGGGGGGGG